GTGGGATCTGGCCATGAATAGGATAAGGTCCTGCCCTCAAAAAGCTTACCATTGGATGAAGAGGAACTCCTAGAGATGAGATATGTCCACAGATATCCTTAAGAAAAGGCAGAGGAATGTGGTGCATTATTCAGAGCAGCAGAAGCAAAGAGCTAAGAGGGATTTTGAAGAGGGTGTGCTTGCTGGCAGTGATGAAGTCTGCAAAGGAAAGAGGCAGTAATCTGAGTCAGAAGCTAGGGAGGACAAAAGTGTAAGTGATAATTCAGGGGCTGGAAAAGCAAGAGATTCCAGAAAAGAAGAAAGTCATTAAATTAGCACTTCTCCAACTTGAATGTGCACATGAGTCCCAAGGGCCCTTGCAACAATGCACATTTTGATTCAGTTGGTCTGGGTGGGGCTCAAGATTCTGCATCTCAATTCTTATTTACTCGTTTAGTTTTTCACACTAGAGAAAATATTCGATATTTACACATGTGTGTGCTATTTATTTTACTTAGGAGTATAGCCTCAATTTGCATCCATTTAGCTATAAATGCCTCTAGTTTCTCATTCTTTATGGCTGAGTAGTACTCCATTTTATAAAAAAGCCACATCTTCTTTATCCAGTTTCCAGTTGATGGGCACTTGGGGTGTTTCCAAGTTTTAGCTATTACAATCAAAATGTACAATAGATAATGTGAAATAGGACGAAAAGCTCTAAAGGAATAGGGGACGTGGGAGGGATAGGGAAAAGGAAAGAAAGGAAAAGAAAAAATATGAGAAAATTAAAAATGGAAACAAAGTCTTTGTAAATAGGGAAGGGTGGAGGGGGTGAAGGGAGGACAGGAGAAGGGGAAAAATAAGAAAAAAAAAAAGATTCTGCATTTCTACAGTGCCCATGCCCCAGAACCTCTTATGGAAGAGAAGGAACTGAAGTCCAGAGGAAGTTGTTCACATATTTGGAAGCCTTAGGCTAGAGATAAAAATGGTAAGAATCTAATATTTAAACTGTGATCAAATTCCACAGGGAGTTGAATATCAGAACAACTGGATAACATTGCTTGTTTTGAGTATCTCCTACAAATTTAACATTGTGGTGTGGTTTGTTGACAGTAACAGTGCCCAGCTACTGCTATGTACAGGCACTTTTCTCGGTGTCAGAAATGCAGAAGTGATAGACTAAAATAACTACTCTGGTGGAGATGACATTCTAGTGAGGAAAGGAAGATAATAAACAATACAATTAAGTTAGTGAATGATGTGATGGTGGGTGGTGATAAACACAATAGGAAATATAGAACAATGAAAAGTGGATGGAATCCCAAGGGTGAATTTCATTTCTTTTTTATTTCATTTTTAAGTAAGGTGGTCATGGTGATATAGGGGGAATAGATGTAACTCCCAAACTTAGTAGATGTTCAATGCACCAAGTTCATGTTCCCCAAAATCAAAGAATGAATTCTGAGGAATGACAGAGGTTAAGACTAGGAAATTTTAATGAGGGAGAGACAGCTCCTGAGAGAGACAGGAAGGGGAACCCAGAAAGTGGGTTGCTGCAGACTCCACTTACAGGGGAGGTTTTATAGAGCAAAATCAAAGGTTATGTACAAAGTGGGAAAAACTGTGATCAATAAGATTACAAGTATAGTCACTTAGGTAACATTGATCCAATGGAAAGGCAAGCAAGCATACATGGATGACATCATTAACCTTGATTTTTTTTTTTTTTTTTTGGTACCTGGGCTCGAACTCCGGACCTTCTTCTTGCGAGGCAGGTGCCGGAACCACTGAGCTAAATCCCAGGCCTGAGCAGTCTTTCTTTTAATCTTAGTCTTGTTCTTAGTTTGTGGGAAAAGATGGCCTACCCTTAATGAGATAATGGTTTATTTATGGAACTCAAAAATGTGGTACTCAAATTTTTGTTTATCCCTCAGAGGTATGTGAGCATTTCATCTTTATCTTGAGGCCTGGCCTTTGATAGATTCTCCTCCAGCCACACATTTGATGTGTTCTCATCTTCTGCACTGACTCTCAATGGCCTAGCCCTGTCTGCTTACAATATATCCACCTACCTTAGCTGTCTGTATCAGTGGTAGACCCAAAAGTGTGTACAGACCTAAGGGAGATCCAGGGATTAACAATGTGAGTGTAGGGCCAGGGCTTTAGCTCAGTGGTTCCGGCGCCTGCCTTGCAAGCACAAGGTCCCTAGTTCGATCCCCTGTTACCACCCTTCAAAAAAAAAAACATAGAAAATTATCATCTAGGTCCAGGGATTTAGCTCAGTGGTTTCGCCGCCTGCTGGGCAAGCGCAAGGACCCGAGTTCGATCCCCGGTACCAAAAAACAAAACAAAACAAAACAATGTGAGTGTAGGGGAACAGACAGAAGGAAAAGCCAGGGCAAAGGAAAAGCCAGGGCAAATACCCTCAAGTGTGACAGATGAGGGAATCAAAACCCATAGAGGTTAGGTAATTTACCAAAGATCTGTTACCCAGGATGCAAACTGAGACTGAACTTAAGTTCATATTCTTAACCACTATTTGCTGCCTCTGGCATCAGATGGTCTTTTGTGTCAGTGACAAGTCCTATGCAGTAAAAACACTGTCACTGCTTTGCCAGCCACTGGTCACTTCCCCACTGTACAATAGGCAATGTCTTCCCACTCCTTAAGCAGGTGCAAGAATTCACAAAGAATAGATAGTTGGATAGAGCTCTTCTTCCTCTCAGTCCCTCCCGAGCTCAAGCCTTCATTCTCTGCTATATTCAGAAAAATTTCCATTGTTTCCTACCTGGTCTTCCTTACCATCTACCTGTGAAGCCATGGGCATTTACCTAACCACCCATAACTTCAGTTTCCTCATTGATAAATAGAGATACCTTACAGAGATACTGAGAAGATTAGATTTTAAAATGCTCAGAGTTAGTCTTCTGTATCCATGAGTTTCACATCCATGAATTCAATCAACCATAGATCTAAGGAATAGAAAAAAAAATCATCTATACTGAACATTCACAGTCCTTTCTTCTTGTCATTATTCCCTAAGCGATACAGTAGAGCAAGTATTTCTCTAGCATTTACATTGTATTACTTGCTATAAATAATCTTAGATTATTTAAAGTATATGAGAGGATATTCACAAATTATATGCAAATACTGCACATTTTATGTAAGGGAGTTGAGCATCATGACTTTGGTATCTTAGGGGAGATCCTGGAACCAAATACTCATGAGTACTGAAGAACAGCTGTATGATAATAATAGCTCCTTTTCTGTCATTCACCATTATCCAGTCTAAGCACAGTGTTTTCTTTTAGTTACTTCTTATAACAACTATGCATCTAGCTGCATCCCATTTTGATGATAATGAAAGTGTGGCACAGTGAGGTTTAAGGTGTCATGGTCCACAATTAATAAGTTACAAAGAACAGAGAGAAATCTAGGAAGGTTTAACTCCATAGTCCAAATAAAATGTTTCAGCCTTTTCTCTCTCCAGAATAATTATATAATATGCCTACATAGAAGATAAGGCACATTATTTATTTTTGTTTTCATTGACAAACAAAAATTACACATATTTATGCTGTACAAATCATATCTTGACATATGTATACATTGTGGAATGACTAAATCAAGCTAAGTTACATATTCGCTACCTCACGGTATATCATTTTTTATGGATGAGAACATTTAAAAATCTCCTTTCCTGGTGATTTTCCTGTATATGGTATATTGTTTTTAACTACCATATTGTATAATAGATGTCCTGATTCTGTTCATCCTGACTGAAAATAAGCCATATTTGAGAAAATGTTACTAGTTGATCTAGAAAAGAATAGATGAAGGTTCATTCTAGAATTCTTTTAATTTTCTATTAAGTTGAATTCATTGTCACAAAAAGCTGAAAACTTAAAAATGAATTAAATACCTATGGATAATAGTACTGCAGTATACACCTAACAGTTAAAAAAGAAGGCAGATCTCATGACATGTTCTTATTACAATACAATTTTTAAAATAAATAGGATAATTTTGAAGAATAAGTGCTATGAAGAAAACAAGATGCTGTAATAGGATAGAACTGAGCTTTCTAACACAGTAACAACCAGCTACATGTAGCTATCTATGTAAATTTAATTCTCAAGTTATAATTGAACAATATTCAACATGCAGGTCTGCAGTTGCATGTGCCACATTTTAAATATTCCATGGCCTCATGGATAGTGGCCACTGTACTGAACAGCATGGGCCAAGATTATCTCTCTCACTGCAGAAAGCTCTATTGGCTGTTACTGGCAAGAGCTACAAGGGGGAAGGGAGGAGGAGGTGGAAAGCCCTTCTGAGGTGAAGGCATTTGTTGATGATTACAGAGTAGGAACCAGCTTGGTGCAGACCTGTAGGGCCTGGGATGTGTCTGGGTTAGAAGGGAGAGCGAGTGCAAATACACAGAATCAGGAGGAACACAGCATCAGAGGAACACAGAGACCAGGATGAGGGTAGCGCAAGAAGAGGGGCCTTAAAGGAAGAAGCTGGTCAGTAAGCAAGGTAACACTTTGTGACTTCCAAGGGTAGATTCTAAAAAGAGCTGCAACTTCTCCTGGCTCTTTTTAACACTCATTCTTGAGACACAGTCCCTCAAGCTCTAAGGAGGATCTCCAAACCAGTCCAGGGAGAAAGGGCTGTGGACAAGTGGAGGACTTTGCCTACAACTGTCAGAGCTTAGGGGGCCAGTCACCACCAGGTGGCACGGAAGTAAAGGTGAGCCTTAATGACAGCCGTTTGAACTGTGTGGGTCTACTTACATGTGGATTTCTTTTTCTTTTTGGAGAATCGTGACAGTTTGAAGAAATATGAAGATGATCCATATAGTGTATAAATATCAAAAAAACAAAAAGGGAGCATGTTGTGAATGTATAAAATATACATAGGTGATGATCTGTTTTATCATTTATTATCATAAAATATAGTAGATGAATCCATTGTAAAAAGTCACAATTTATCAAAATGTATGCATCTCCTTGCAGACCACAGATGGCATTGTTTGCAATGAAGAGAAATGTAGATAAGAGGAAAGATGCAGTGGTAAGTCATAACCCCATAGAATTGACTATAGTAATGTGCCTCTGGAATAAGGTTGTGGCCACTTCCTGTTGCTAGTAGGGAGCTCATGCATTAAGGATTCTCTTTAAATGCTACTCCATGTAATGATAATGATTGCTACATGAGGAGTTTCCATCCCCAGTAAATTGTCCATCACAGTAAAAAAAAAAAAAGATTTCTCATTGGCTTCACATGTTTTCACTGTATATAATTCTTATAAAATATAAGTTAATCGGCTGCTTATGCTATCAGTAAGGCTTCTGATCAACTGCAGTCTATCCATAGTTAAGTTTTGGGCAATGAAAAGTTATATGTGACCTAGGTGTGGCAGTGCATGCATATAACCCCAAAACTCTGGAGATGGAGGTGAGAAGATCATGAGTTTGAGCCCAGCCCGGGTGACATAGGAATTTCAAGACCCACCTAAACTACATAGTGGAGTTAGCACTCCACCCCCTGAGTTGATCAAAAGTCTACTGTAGTTGCTTCCAGCAAAGTACCCAGCTGACCCTACACTGAGCAGATACTAGCCATCCCCATCAAGCCCTGCCAAATTCCAAAATAAATGACATTGGCTGTTTAAAGCCACACCATTTGTAGAAGCTTAGATACATAGCAGTAGATCATTGACATAGAAGGACAGGTCCAGGAAGTCACTCAGCTAGAAACTGATGGAGGGGAGATTTGGCTCCTGTCTTGCAGCTTTCAGCAGCACTGACCATCAAATATGCTCTTTGTCACCTTCTAGGTGGGCAACTTCAGGCAAATCACCTTACAGATGACAGCATCTAGTGCAAGCTAAGACATTTAGAAAATATGTGTATTATTTGAATGTAAAAACTCCTCAGGCCCCACTTTGAAGTGTTACTATACCTCCTGTTAGCACCTTTGAAACTTGGCACAACTGATCTGATTAAGCGGTTCTTCAGTAGGTCTCACACTGTATAGGAATCCCTTAAGAAACATGGTCAACAGCAAACCCCAATTCTCTATTTCTCCCATCTTTAAGCTTTGAATCAAGCCTTGATGTTTGAATCATTTTAAATTATTTTTCAGCTTTATTGATATATCATCACAATCTGCTAAAGGCACATATTTAAAATGTACAATTTTATCAGTGTTGACTTACATATATGTGTTATTTAGCTTTCTGTAACTGTGACAATGTACCTGAGGTAAACAGCTTATAAAGAGGAAAGGCCGTGGTTGCAAAGATTTAAGTTCATTGTCACTTGGCCCTGTTGCTTTGGGACCATTTTGTGGCACTGTGCACCATGTTGGGAATATGTGGCAGTGGAGGTCTGTTCACAAGGCAGCCAGAAAACCATGAAAGAGAAGAGGGGCTGGTGTCCCAATATTTCTTTCCAGGATTAGGGTCCTGACTTCCTTTTGCTAGACTTTACCTGCCAAAAGTTCCACAACCTCCCAGTAGGACCAAGCTTTCTACACATGGGACTTTGCGAGAGATTCAAGATTTAAATATAATAGTAAATTTGTGAATCCATCTCCAAAATTAAGACTATAAACATTTCCTTTACCATCAAAGATTACATTGTCTCACCCATTCTTGCCTCTACCTCCTTGCCAAGAAACTATAGATGTGTTTTATCTCAGTTGATTAGTATGCACTTTTTAAAATTTTTGCTTTAGTCAGCACAATGGTTTTCAGGTTCTTCCACATACTGCATGTAGCACTATTTCATTTCTTTTTCTTGCTTGTTAATATCCCACTGTAAGAGTATCTCACTGGATCTGGCCATTTGCTGATGGGCATTTAGTTGTTTCAATTTGAGGCTGCCAAAAATAGAATATGCTATGAAAATTCCAGCACTTAGGTATATTTAATAACTGAGTCATGTAGCAGGTAATATTTAAGATTTTAAAAAACTGCAAAACTATTTTTGCCAAGTGGTTTACCTTCTTACATCCCTCATACAGTGCCTGGAAATTCTGATTGTCCAAATTTTTATCAATACTTGGTACAGTTTTAAACATTTTAGCCAATGATGGGCTAGAACTAGCTTGCTCCAGTTTATGCAAGCCAAGTGTATGCCTCTCTTCCCAGTGCTGGGTTGGAAAACACTATTCATCAGACCTCTTAAAATCCTATATTACTCAAATCTAATTGTTAATCATTTATCAGCACACCACTGATGTTATCCATTCTAGGGGTATTTAGTGGTATCATTGTCATTTAATTTACATTTTCCTGATGAGTAATTATGTTGAACATCTTTTCCTGTTCTTAAGAACCAGCTTCATGTCTTCTTTTGAAAACTGTTAAAATATTTACCCATTTTCTCACAAATTATTGTCTTATTATCATTGTCAGAATTCTTCATATTCTAAATGCAAATTCTTTTTCTTACATATAGGGTACAAGTATTTCTTCCCTTATCTTTTCCCTTTCTTAGTGGTATCTTTCCTAATGGTTCTTGTTTTAATTGAAATTTAATTTACTATTTTATCATTTTTCTCTGTTATGGTTTGTGTTTCTTCTGCTTAAGAAAATTTTGCCTACCCCTGGGCTGCAAAAATGTTTTCCTGTGGTTTCTTTTATAGTTTTAAGCTTTACATTTGGGTCTAATTCACTTTGGATTAATTTTTGTGTATGGTGAGGGTTAAGGGTCAATATTCACCTTTCTCCAACATGAATATCTAGCACCACTTGTTGAAAAACTTCTTTTCTGGCAGAGTTGCATTAGCGCCTTTGTCAAAAACAGTTAGCTAGAATATGTGGGTCTATTTATGAACACCTTACTCTGTCTCATGGCCCTCTATGTATATATTTTCACTAATGTGCTTTTATAGTGACCCTCAAAAGCAGTGAAGGTAAGTTACCCAGAGCTTTTTCTTTTTAAAATTTGCTTTTGTTAGCCTATACCTTCTGCATTTCTGTTTAAATATTAGAATCAATTTATCAATTTCTTGTAGAAAAATATGTAGACCTTCTATTGAGAGTAAATTAAATCTACACATCAATTTATAGAAGGCATTGTCTTAATAATATTGAAATCTCCAAGCCATGAACATGATATATTCTTCCATTTATTTAAGTCCTTTTCAATTTCTCTTGGCAATGCTTTGTAGCTTTCAGTGCAGAAGTCCTGGATATCTTATGTTAGAGTTTTTCTTAAATATTTACTAGGGTTTCTTTGGTGCACTATATGAGGGTTATTTCCTTAATTTTATCATCAGTGGTTTGAAGTTGGTATATGAAGATGCAACTAATTTTTTTTTTGGTACTGGGGATAGAACTTGGGACCTTCAGCTTGCAAGGCAGGTGGCAGAACCACTGAGCTAAATCCCCGGCCTGCAACTAATTTTTTAATATTAGCCTTATATCCTATACATTTCTAAATTTTGTTTTTCTTACTTGGATTTTTTTTAGACTTACTTGGATTTTCTATATAAATCATCACAGCACCTGAAAGCACAGGTAATTATTTCTTCCTTTCAAATGATACGCCTCTCAATTATTTTCTTGTCTTATTGCAGTGGTTAAAGTTCTCCAAAACAGTGTTGAACAGTAGTGTAAAAGCAGAATGATGTTGGACAGGAGTGGTAAAAGAAATGATTACGTTCTCCAAGGTAATGTTAAGAGAAGTGGTAAAAGCAAGAACAACAGATCTTTGTTTTAGATCTCAAAGGGAAACAATTCAGTCTTTTATCATTAAATATCATGTCAACTATAGGTTATTTTTAATTTCTGATTTTTTATAGATACCTTTGAGCAGTTTGAAGAACTCAACCATTATTCCTAAGTTTCTATGATTTTTTGTTTTGAATGTGTGAAACTTTTTTGCAAATAGATTTTCTAAATCTATTGAAATATTCATTTGGCTTCTTTCCTTTACTTGGTTATTTTACTGAATTATGTTGATTGATTTTCAAACACAAAAATAGTATTTTATTTTTTGGTATAAACTCTAGTCACAATTTATCATCATATTTATGTATTTTTGGATTCAATTTGCTATTAATTTTTAGGGATTTTTGTGTCTATATTTCTGAAGAATAGCGGTCTATTTTCTTTTTATTCCAGTACTGTATATTGAACCCAGTGATGCTGTACCACTGACCTGAATCCCCAGTTCTTTTTTATCTTTTTGTTTTGAGACAAGTTCTCAGTGTGTAGTATAGGCTGACCTCAAACTTGGAGTCATCCTGCCTCAGCCTCCTGAGTAGGTAGCAGTACAAATATTTTCTACTATTCTTCACACTTTTTTACCTATTTTCTTTTTGTTTGTTTGTTTGTTTTTGTTTTTTTCTTTACCTATTTTGTTAAGGCAGAAACTTAGGTCATTGACTTTAGATATTTCTTACTTTCTAACATAAATATTTAAAGCTTTAGCATTCCTCTAAACACGGTTTTTCACTGCATCCCACATATTTTGATATGTCACCTTTTTTCAAACTGAAATTTAGTATTTTATTCAATCACAAATGTAAGCAACAACCTTCATACCTATAATCTGGATATGAATAGAAATTAATTTTCCCAACATATTAGAGCTATTGCAAATATCTCCAAATACATTGTGACTCATGCTAGTTTGAAAGTAGGGTATTTATCAGATTTGCATTAATAAAGAAGCAAATAGGGCTGGAGGTGTAACTCAGTGGTACAGTGCTTGCCTAGCATGCACAAAGCCTTGAGTTCAAGAAAGTATGAAGAAAAACAATCAGCTGCAAGGTCTTACCATGTTCTTCAAAGTCTTAATTCATGAAGACCTTCATTACAGACAGAGAAAAATAAAGGTCTTCATAAATCAAAACTTCTCTGAAGAACATGATAAATCTTGCAGCACAGTATCTTTTTTTAAACCTCATCAAATAAAGAAATGTCATATTTCTGAGTAGGAAGACACTAATGTAAAGATATTAGTTCTTCCCAACTTAATCTGTATTCTTAAACCCCAAAGACTTTCCTGTGGAAATCTGAAAAGCTGATATTAAAATACATCTGAAGGAATACAATTTTTTAAAATGTTAAGAATAAAAACTTGGCCTACTGAACACCAAAATTTACTGCAAATCATAAAGAATATTTGCATATTTAAGGCACTATTATTGTAAAGAAAACTTTGATACCAAATATTTTCCAAATTTCCTTTTCAACAATGTATAGATACTTATAGGACAATGTATGATTAAAAAACACTATTCTAGGGCCGAGGATTTAGCTCAGTGGTTCTGCCGCCTGCCTCTCAAGTGCAAGGACCTGAGTTCAATCCCTGGCACAAAAAAAGAGAAAAAAACACTATTCTACAATTGATTCAGTGCTGTCCTAGATCATCCTAAGGAAAAAGTAACCAGGACAACACCAAGCTTCTAGAAGTGCAAAGATCCCAATGGAAGAGGACGCAGATCCCAACTTTCTTCTGTGAATGGATCATCTGCTCTCAGCTGGGCCCTCCTCATGCCCCCCAAGTTCAGTTGTTGATATACTTTGTTTAAAGCCAAACTTTAACAGGGTCATTACAATCATGGTCAAACCAGAAAGCCACCAACACTGCTTCCAATGATGAATGCAAAGAATGATACACCTCACCTTTCAGGAAGATGGCTGTGATCTTAGTGCAAGGTTCTCTGCATCCAGTCCCTCATAGAGAGCTTTGTTGAAAGATATTTCACCAAGGACCTGTAGTTCAGTTCTATCTCTTAGTAACTGCTTAGAGTGACCCAAAGAGATCTCTGCAGCCACAGTGACATTTTCTTTATCAGAAGTGATGGCACAGCTCACTGAGGGCCACTCTTTCACATGCTGAACTGGATCACTCCCACAAGCATGCTCCTGATCCTGGGTGCACACCATGTAGGCCTGAAATGAGAGCCATTCCAGCAATGCACTGAGAAAACAGTTGTTCATGTCACATTTTTGTTTGCCTTTCAAATCAAAATACTTTCTAATTTCTCTTGTGATTTTGTCTGGTCTATAACTTACTTAGAGATGCATTATTTAATTTCTAGATATTTGGAGGTAGATATCTTCTTATTACTAATTTCTAATTTAATTCCACTGTGGTCAGAAAACATACTTTGAGCGATTTTTATCCTTAAATTTATTGAGACCTGTTCTATGGCCGGTCCTATGGTCTATACTGACATACGTATCATACATACTGATGTATCATACATACTGATCTAGCTGGATCATTTAAGGCAAGTTACTTAATCTTTCTGATCTCAATTTATTCACTTATAAAAGAGGATGATAGCAATAGTCCTTACTCCAAAGGATAGTTGTGGTGGTTAAAATAGGTAACTTATGAAAAGCATTAAGCATAGTGTACACATTCAATAAATGTTAACTTTTAGTATTGTTGTGTTATTTTTACTAAGAAGATAACCTTGCTAGAAGCCTTGATTTTATTCTAGGTTCAACCAAAGCTTCCTAAATGTGGTCCATAAAACCAGACAACTAACTGTCCCCTCCTCAGTGCCAGTATCTTCTCACTGCATTCCAACAAATCCAGATCCCTTCCTGTGGCCCTGTGCACCACTGCCCAGCCTGTAGCACTGATCTCTATGCTTTCCACTCTTCCTTTTGATGACAGCTCACCAGCCACACTGGGTTTCTATCCCATCTTTTAACACCATCAAAGTGATCTTTGTACATATTTCTCTCTCCACCTGGAACCTTCTCGCTTTCTTACCTTGGTAACTCATGCTCCTCATTCACATCTCACCTCAAATGTGATTTTCTCCAGGAGGACTTTCCTGACTGTTCACACTAAATTTAGCCCCCTTTCTATTCACTGCATAGCACCCTGGTTTTTCTTTCAAAGCGCTTAGCACAATTTGTACATAGACAAATCTAAGAGACACTCCCATTAGACCCTTAAAATCAACAGGCAGGATTCATCAGTTTTGTTTTTCCTTTACCTGGTGATGTGCCTGGAAAGGCCAGTGGTCATGTTCAATAACTATCTGTTTAACAAATGTTGTTCTAAACTCCAGATGTGTGACCCAGGGAAAATCACTTTACTTGTCTGAGCTTTCCTTCCCTCACCTGTAAAATGGGTGCCACCAACCTTTCCCCCAAGTGTGAGGTAGAAAACATTGCATGTGTTCAGTGAATATTTGAAAAGAAAGCTGGAGATATGCTTAAACAAGTAAGCCATGGAATAGAATGTACACATGTTCATTGTCAATTGATTATAAAATACAACAACTAGAAGTAACTAAGAAGATCTACAAAGAACTGATGAATAAATCTCATCCCATTCTTAGAGTATTATTATGAGGGTGCTTTAGAAAGTGTAGCCCATCATTATGGAAAAGATATATTAAACAGAAATGAGATTGGAGAAAAATGCCTCCGACAGAGCATTTGGAAAAATACATGTGTTCTTGAAAAGGAAACTTTCAACATTATATATTTCTTGGGGCTGAGATTGGAAAAAGGGAGAAACTTCTCATTTTAAACCTGTTTGAACATTTCACCATGGACAGTTATTGCTTTTATAAACAATTCATTCATTTGTGTTTAAAACATGGCAGTTGGTTGGCTGGGACAAAGCGGGCTCCTCCTTGTGCTCTAGCTACTTAGTGCTGGACCTCCAAATTTTGACAGCCTGCAGCAGGCCCTAGAGTTGAGTGGTATGTCACTCAGCACACAGTCCTCCATGTACTCCTGCTCCATAGCCTTTGCTTGCTTTGAAAAAACCAAACAAACAAAAGCAGGCTTCTCTGGGCAGCAACTCCCAGTGGTTGGAGGCTGGCAGTTGGGAGCTTGATTTTCTACCTCATACTCCAGATGCCCCCAGGGAAGATTCTCCAGACAGCCCAGCTACAGCTGGTGCCATGATGCCAGGCCCCAGGACCAGGCAATAAACCATTAGCAGGCCGCCCACAGATCATTTCCCCTTTTTGGGTGCTGCCTGGCACCTCCCAAGAGGAAGAGATTTATCAGCACTTGGCCTGCTGCCCTGCTCTCATGCAATCCACGGGCCACAGCAGGTCAAACCAAGTGGTTCCTCTTCCTCCAACACAGGGCTGTATCTGGGGAGGCCCAAGAAAGCCAGAGAAAAGAGGCCAGGCTCTCCAGGACTGGTGAGATGCTCCACCATCAGAGGCTCTGCCCATTGGGCTCCTGGCTAGACCAAGAGGACAACACATGAGACAGATAAAGTTCTGATTCTGACCAGGTAATGCCACAGCCTGGAAGGCCCAGGCTCATGCCCTCCACTCAACAGAGAGGAGCCCAGGTTGTCTTCTTGCCCATATTCAAATGTTGGTTCCACTTTGATCTCCCTTCTCCCCTCCCTGCTTTTCACATTGGTGAGGTGCCTTTGTGAAGCTCTCCCAGGGCAATTTTCTGCCTTTGAAGTCCCTGGAAATCCCTGCCAAGAGCTGTTCTAGTGTGAGGAGGCTGCTGGGGCAGGCAGCCCATGCCCTAGCCTTACAGGGTGCCAGAACTGGAACATCAAGACATCAAAGGGAAAGGTGGCATTGAGGAGATGAGTAAGCTCAGCCCTAAGCTTTGCCTTAGCCTGAGGGTCTTCTGCTGGTCTCTCTGGTGGATCTGGGACCTGGGCCCAGAGAGCGTGGGGACCTCCCCAGAAGGAAGCTTAAGGGAGGCTCTGGAGGCAGAGATTCCCCTGTCTCTCTGCTTCTTGAAGGGCACTGATCACCACAGAGCAAAAGTGGTCTTCGAGACCCTACTGAGGGCATAGCTTCAACAGCTCCCTTCCCTTCCCTAGTCTTCAGTCTCATCATCTGTCAAATGAAAAGATGACTTCAGCCCTGAGACCATCATCATCAACTCATGGGCCATTTCAGGCCCACAGATATGTTTTGTGTGTCCCACTCAAGTTTAAAAATATTAGCTATAAATAGAGCTGGGCGTGTACCTTGGAGGTAAACCACATGTTTGGCATGTGCAAGACTCTGGGACTGATTCTTACCATCATCAAAAAAAAAAATTGGGACCAGGGATTTAGCTCAGTGGTTTCGCTGCCTGCTGCTCAAGGACCCAAGTTTGAGCCTGGGTACAAAAAAAAAAAAAAAATGCAAATGATCTCTAACTTTTAGAAGTCAGAAGATTTTTTTCATCAAAAATATAAATTAGCTGGGGATTTAGCTCAGTGGTTCCGGCGCCTGCCTTGCAAGGGAAAGGTCCTGAGTTCGATCCCCAGTACCAAAAAATATATTGCAAAAATTTGAAAAATTAAAGCTTCCATTTTCTGAAAGTATTTTTTACCTTTTAAAATTTCTGCAATGATCTATTAATAGTCAAAGATGAATTATTAATTATAACTAATAAATGTTAAAAATTTAAATAAAATTATTTAAATAAAAAAGTTAAGAGACTTGATAGTAATTTACATTTTAGGATTCTTAAAAAGAAAGAAAAGGAAGAGAAAAAGGTAGAGAATTGTGAGCCTGCTGTTCATCACTGCCACCTTTGCAATAAACCTAAGTCCTTGTTGCTCACTGTTTCACTCAGGCTGCTAATATTATGCAATGTCATCATTTGAGTTTGGGGCCCCGTACCTAGGTTATTTCATTTTATATCAAGAGGTGTGATACATTTACCCTAGCAAGATGACAGTGATACAGGCAGAGATAATGTTCTTCCTTTCATCTCGCAGGCATAGGCCAACAATCAGGAGGAGTTTGGCAAAGTATTTCTCACAGGGCCCTTAGAATCACATGAAGATGCTGGTCAAGTTGCAGAAATGCCTGAGCCACAGCTCTAGTCTGTTACTTCGGATTCTCCAGAGATGGAATCCAGGAATGTGCATTTTTAGCAAGTTCTCTGTGGGACCTCTTAGCCACATTAAAACTTTGGAAGCACTTGTAGAAAGGACACTCCATACTGACTTGCAGCTGCTCCATTCCTGAATCTAGCATATCCTCTGGGGCCTTGAGAAAAGGAATCGGATTCTAAGCCCTTCCTATATTTTTTCATTTCATCTTTCCAATGATTGTGTGAGCTGTCGTCATCCCTCTGTATCTGCAAGGAACTGGTTTCAGAACTCCAGTGAATACCAAAATATACAGATTCTCAAGTCCCTTTACTACTTGTATATAACCTACACATGTCCTCCTATATATTTTAAATCATTTCTAAATGACTTAAAATGCCTAATACAATGTAAATGTTACATAAATTGTTGTTATACCGTGTTGTTTAAGGGATAATAACAAGAAAAAAATGTTTGACCATGTTCAGTACAAACACAATTTTTTGCTGAGTATATTCAATCCAGGATAGGTTGAAGCCACAGATGTGAAAGTGAGGCTATGAATGGAGATTGTACTATTATTACCACCATTTAACAGGTGAGGATGTGAAACACAAGAAGGTTAACTAATGTATGTTACATCATGCAGCAGAGCTAGAGTTCAAACGTTGTAATGACTGCTCAAAAACAAGGTTGCTAATATCTCTTTCCAGCTGACAGCAAGAAGGAAATTCTGATTGAAAGCAACCCAGAAAAGGGAGCAACATTTATACTGATTTGGAACAGATAAATCCATGCAAAAGCATGCCAAGAAGCTGCATGCCTATAATGTTCTGGGATCTGGAATCGTCTCCGTGAAGCCTGTTTCAGTGGCATGCCAGGGACTCATGACCCTGGGGATTACTGCTCATTAGTTTTGGCAACTGATTTGTAATATGATTTTAGTAGTTGACTCTGAGCAGCATCTTTCCAGATTCAAAGAGAGTGGGCCACTTCTCCAAAGAAGCCAAACTCAGAACCTGAAACCTGTTAGCTTTTACAACAAAACTCAGTGATTGCATTTGTGCTATTGCTGCTGTTGTTTTGCCTGCCTATTTTGTTGTTGTTGTTGTGTAATAAGTCCTGTCATTAACACTTTCTCTGCCTTTATTCTAGGTCTATACTAGGCAGACTGAAATAATTTTTCCTTAGAAAAGCATCTTGGCTCCAGTGAGAGAAACAACAAGAAATGGACGCAGCTAGAGTCTTAAAAAGCTGATTATTATTTGGGAGATGATGAACAGAGACTAGCTTTCCTATCTCTTTTTCATAATAAAAAGGTTCCAAGAACCTAGCTTTGTTTCCAAAATGACTGGCCTTCTCCGCAAGATTTTTTCTCCAATAAAAGGAATAAATTTCAAATGCATTTCTCATAGCCACTGGATAGGTGAGACACCGATCCTAGTTACACAAAGGCATTGCACGGCCGTGAACTAGGAGATGTTGCTCTTAGGGAAATGAGTAGTTGGCATTTTGCAAAATGATTTGCGAAAGCAACCTTTCCTGGGAATTATGTTATGTTTAATAACTTAGGGCAAATCTTGGGAAGTTTCTTACTGTGAACTCGGGGGAGAGGTCTATCAACCCCTTCAAACAAAACTAAAATGACCTTGAACTTCCCAATCCTACAGTTGATGCAAATCTAGTTCTACTCAGATTGCTGCCAACCCCTATATTATAGTTTGAATTGTGTCTACTCAGGTCAATAGAGAATGTCTCTAGAAAGGATTGGCTAGCAAGATGGGAACTTACATAATAAAACATAATCATAGGATGGATATTTCATCACCTTTGTCATATTCTGATAAAAGTAAGTCAAAGGTCTCACCTAAACTCAAGAGGAGGGAATTATACAAAAGTGTAGAGATGTAGAGCTCATGGAAAGCCACATTTCTTTGTGGTATTAAAAATGGTTTCATGCATGCTAGGAAAGTGCTCTACCACTGGGCTACACCTCCAACCTCTGGTCAATGATCTTAAAATTTATCTGCTCATGACAAGGTAATAGACACATTGGTTTCTCCCCCAGTCATCCCTCCCCCTTATTCCAAGGCTGAGTTTGGTAATTCAACTCTTTGCTATCGTCAGTCTTGGCATGATTATGTGACTCAACTGTGGCTACTATGATGTGAAAAGTTTACTGAGAAAATTCTGCAAAGTTCCTTGCTTCTGAGATGAAGCTAAGAAAAGGGATGGTCTCTCTCTTCTTTCTTAGGATTCTTCGGTGTTGAGATGGAACTTTGGATCTGCAGCAACTCAACCCTAAACATCTTGCTACCAGCTTGAGGGCAAGGCCAGGACCAAAGATAGTAGACCAGAAAGATGGAGAACACTCATATCTCTGATGTCATTTGCTGGATGAATTGTAACTAAAACCTATTTTATTTTGGCTTGAGTTAGGATTCCTATCACTTGCAGCCAAATGCACCATAATTTAGTATGGCTCTCTGAGGACAAGACAACCTGGAACTCAAAGCACCTGAATAGAAAAACCTTAGCTCAATCAATGAGGCATAGTGTACTTTAGTTGAGTTTTCAATGAATGTTTTATTGGCAGGAACTAGAAAATAGTCAGGATTCTACATTGTATAAATTATAACCATTGCTTATAATCAGGCTTAGCCAATTGATTTCAAGGAGATACTATCCTCTTGTCTAAATGGGGCTGGACATTTTCCACTAATCCAGAGGAAGGATGGTTATTGTAACCACAAAGGAAACTAACAACATTAAGTGATACATGAAAGTAAATCACATTGGCTTAGAATAATTTGCCTTTTCCAATTCTTAAAGAAAAGGAGAGAAACTAATCTTTATTGAGTTCCCTCAAAGTACCTACTATGTTCTGGGACCAATATATATCCAGTTAATCCTCAAAATACTTTAAAAATTTATTTTCCCTGCTTTGCTGAGGATAACTGGGTGATTCTACCTACGTCAATGAGTGTTATCATTCATCATCAATTCTTTATTCCTTTTAGAATGTGTTGCTTTGTTTTAGGATGTGGTTAATCCCAAATAACTTATGCTGGTCAGCACTACAAAGCCCTAAAATGTGTAAATATTCCATCTTACTAATGGCCAAGACAGCTTGAGTCTTCTAACTGAATATGAATAGAGGCCATCAAGTCTCACAGATAATTTTCATAGACTTTATCCCATTGATTGTCCTTAGCCACATTTCATAGATTAGATTATTGAGGTTCAACAGTTTTGCATAACTTGTTCAAAACTATTCAGCTACTGAGGCAAAATCATACCAGATAAATTCAAACTCTGGTCATTCACTCCAACGTCCTTTTCACCATGAAGCAATCCCTTTCTGCCTTCTCTAAGTATAACAATAGGACATTTTTTGTCAAATTCATACATAGCTAGCAATAAGGGACACATACATGGGACCATATTTCCAC